GTATCCCAGCCTGGCTTCCAGCGCCCTATGTAGCTGAGAATGCCTTTGTGCTTTTGCTCCTCCTTCGTCCAGCTCCTGAGCTGGGATTACAGATGTGCACCACGTGCCTAGTTTATGCAGTACTGGGCTGGGACTTGGCGCTGCATGATCTCAAGGCTCTCTATCAGCCTAGCCAACCCCACCTCTGGATTGTATAGTCTGTGCTTTTTTCCTTTTTAAATATTTACTGCTTTACCTGTATGTGTACATGCCTGAGTGTGTATATATGCACCATATGTGTGCAGTTTCCCGAGGAGACCAGAAGAGGACCTTGGATGCCCAGGAACTGGAATTGTAGGAGGTGCTGAACAACACAATGTGGGTGCTAAGATCTGAACGTGGGTCCTCTGGAAGAGCAGCAAGTGCTCTTAGCCACGGATCCAGCACCTCTCCAGGCCCCCGTTTTCTCTTATATAACCACAAACCCCAAAACCAATAAATGGACACAGGCATAGATGCTCAGTATTCCTATTGGCCGCATGAGTGACTACGGTAGGTTCGACCATAGGCAAACACCCAGGAAGAGCAGACAGCCTCTCTGCCTGCACCCCTCAGAGCTTCTCCATTGTTGGCCCTAGGAAGAGGAATGCAGAACAAGTCCTACACTTCAGTAGTGAGGTCAGGAGAGGATGAGGGCAGGGCGTGCCAGGGAAACTGGGTGCCTGGAGACGTGGTTGCTCTCCCTTCATCTGCCAAATGTCCTCTTGGCTGACAGTGTGTCAGCCTTGGACAAAGATCCCTGCAGCTGCAGCCATCCCATCATTTCTTAGCAGAGCTCGATTGTTAGAGTAGCACCGGCCACCTGCCTTAGGGGTTTGTTTGCCCCAGACAGTGCTCCATCTGCTTTTCCTACTGCTGACCAGGGAGCGCAGACCATGAAGTGTAATGTAAAGGAAAAGCATGAGCTGCAGAAGGCTACAGGCTGAGAACGGCCAGGGCTCCAGTGGCGAACAGACCAAGAGGAAGCCTCAGCTCATGGGCCAGAACAGCACAGGCAAGAAGGAAGAGAGGGAGCAGGCCAGGGGTATGGATCCTCTAGGCAACTCCTCATGCCTTCCAGCCCCATTTGAATGCCCCTGCTTTGAAGAAGTACCCCAGATCTGTTCCACCATGCTCTATTTCCTGCACTCTTCTGGGAGCATGCCATTTTGCAGAAGGTCAAACTTAGCCTTTCTCCAGAACTCTGTAGTTCTACTGAGGTCAAGGGTTTGTCTCTACTCACTGCTGTATCCCCAGCCTTAGTAACAACATCCCAGGACTACAGATGCTCAGAGGAATAGATGGGAACTACCTGCCCTTAGGATGTTGACTCCTCATCAAGTTCCCTCTGCTAGTCAGCGCCATCACGGCACCTGGCTCAATCTGTCCAAGCTATGAACGGCCACTGATTTTCACTGTTGTCTCTTCCTCAATTTATCACAGCAGGAGAATGTCTTAGAGGCACCACGGTGCTCCCCGCAACCCCCAGCAGAATCACAGGAGCCTCTAGTAAGGGCTCCAACTGGCAGGAAGCTAACACAGCCAGTCCAGTCCCTGTAAAGCACTCAGCCACTTCCTAGGCTGCATCAGCCTGTCCAGAACCACTGCTCTCTCCAGGGACACACAGAGAGACGGATTCCGTGGAAGTCTTCAGGACACCTGAGCAAAGTGAAGTCACTGGGATGATGACATGTGCCATCCCTCCTCCCTTTCCATCACGCTAGGAATCAAACTCAGAGCCTTGTGCATGCTAAACAGTCACTCTACTAAGAACGACACCCTACTCCTCTCGGTCCTCTTCTTTCCTTTTCCTCTGAATTTGAGTCAGGAGAAAGCCTTCCATCTCCACCCCACAGACAGTGCCCTTCTCCAGAGAATCTGTTCCACTAAGGACAGAGCACACTCAGGACAAAGATAGACCCACAAGATCTCAGAGAACGGCTCCTTTCCCCTCTCCTGAAGAGCCCCAGCACCCTGTCCTAGCCCCGAGACCCTCCGTTTTTCTATGGCTGGATGCTCATCCCTGGATCCAGCGTCCTATTGGCTAGCAGCGGTTCCGGGGCTATGGCAGAGAAGAGCTTACATGGACCCAGGGTAATCTTGTTCTTGCTCTTCAGTCCCCGCTGGTCCTAGGCAGGGCTGCTGTGAGACAAAGGGCACTATTCGCATTGAATTCTATTTGCACCTGGCTGTCCAATTCTCGCTCCTCCCCAATTTCTCTAACGGGATACAGGCACTGCGGAACCATCTAAACAGCCAGAGATAGACTCCGTGTTCAGGAATGTAGCGCTTCGTGCGGCAAATATTTAAGGTCCTTTCTCACCTGGCCAAGAAGACAGAAATCACGGAGCCCCGTCCTGAAGCACTGTCCTGTCCTCATAGGCTGTGCTGTGTGCCAAGACCCCTGGGGCAGGTTCCACTCGGCAGCACAGAGGACAGTAGTGTATGGCTACTATGATTCAGGCTTTTTGAGCCGGAGACTCCCGACTGTCCAAGGTAGGGCTCATGCCATTTAACTCTGACCTGGAAGGAGCCATGCAGACATCAGGCGGGGCTAAAGGAGACCTGTGGCTCCAGCTTCTATCAGACTAGAACACAAGCTGAGGTAGGCAGCTGTCCAAGAGACCAGTCCCACCGAGGGACCAGCCCCTCACCTCCAGGTGCTGGTCACTAGGCTCTCAAGGAGCAGAGGACGTACAAGAGTTCAGAGCGCAAGTTTCAGCGTCATTTGGTCTGGATTCAATAGCCTTTCCCTCGCGCCCTTTCTGCTGGCGACTTCTTCCTCCAGAAGCCTCGTTTCTTGTGAGTAGAGTGGGTTTGCGCCCCTGTGCCGCGAAGATGAGGGAGCTTTTGCTCCCTACGTGGTGGTAATTATCAGCTGGCATGTCTCTCCTGTGGTGTAAGCCCTAAGCATTCTCCTTCCACTCCTCCAGCTTCACTCCTGTGCCATGGACATGGAACCTTCCAGAGGTACCACTGCGCTCTTCCGGTGTCACCTCAAAAGCTTGTCTCAGAGGGGGGAGGTTTTACTAAAGGATATAGATTTTCTTTGCGGGTATCTGCGTCATTTCCTATAAAGCGAGGATGGAGAACTGAGAGCCTCTTTATCTCGGCACCTCTTTGGATTTGTGAAATTCTGTCTTTACAGGGCCACTCCTGGAGAGCCGTCAGTACTGTGGTGAGACGCCTAAGTTTTACACCACCAGGGGGCGCTGTTCATCTGGTTTCTGTCCAGCTTCTCAAGGAAGCCGACGGGAATCAGGAGTACTGTGAGTACTTAATGGGAAGGGACAGGCTTTCGCTCAGGGATATGCGCAACTGCCCTCATCCGGCAGTCTGTCTCCTGGTGGGCGGAGAAACGCACTCTTCCCATCCGTTAGGTCACTTACATTTTCCCGTGTTCCTTCGGGCACCCTTCTATATTGTGACGGATAAGACAGTGTTAGCTAAGGAAGGGACACTTGCCCGTTGCCAACTCCAGATCCTCAAGTTGACCAGAAAAAGAGGTGGCAGAGTGAGGGGGTGGAGGAGGCAAGATCTACCCAGCATAGCTGTCATTCCCATCCTTCCATCCCAAGGGATGACAGTGGTCTCTCCCTCCTCTTGGGGGATATCAGGAAAGGGCTGGGGTTGAGCTTTCATGGAGCTCAACCAAAGATGTGTGTTCCACGAACACTGGCTGCCTCTTTAGGAATGGAACCCTACCAAATGGAAGCTTCCAACGCACTCCAATGGCTATGGGCAACCCATTCTGCAAGTCTGCCCAACTCTGGCTGGATCCTGAGCTGCACTTTCACCACACCAGTGAACCCCAGGCCACTATTCACTTGACTTTGGGCATCAGTCAAGCTAGACGCAAGCCTCCTCTAATCCCTTTAGTACCACTTGCCTCAAGGAAAAAGGATGCTGGAAAGCTCGGCGAGAAGAGGAACCCTGTGTGACGGACAGCACATGGAAAGAAGGCCTTTGGAGAGGACCTCTTTTTTTCTAGAAGGATCTCCAGTGGAATGGAGGAGTGGGGATCCTGAGAGTGGATGCAGCCCCTTACCACTGACATTAGGGTCCAGATTATGGCCCCATCCTAGCCACAGGAGAGGGAGGAGCAGAGGGGGTTCGTTACTGTGCCCAGCTCATTCAGTAAAGGGCAAAGCTGAGCTCTGAAACTAAGAACCTCACCCTAGCTGTCCTGCGGTGGTCCAGGAGCATTAGTACAGCTACTGTGGAACCCGCACCCATGCATATGGGGCCCTAAGTCTTCACAGCCAGGCTGTGACAAGCATGGATGTTCTCCGGATTTCTCATTTCATAGATGAGTAAACCTGGGTTTAGCAGGGCGCCTCGGGTGAGATGACTTCACATCTTCACAGATGTTAGGTCTGCTAAATCAGAAACGTCCACCCTCCTCAGCCTCCTGTGTACTTTGGTGCCTCCGTTTCCTAATGTCAATGTGTCCTCTTCTGTTCCTGGGATCTCTGCTCCAGCTAATTGGAGAAGGGAGAAGGCCTTGCAATGGGATGACAATGTCCAGTCACTCTGGGGTTCTAGACTCCCACTTACCTACCCCTCCCAGAAGAAGTCACATCTCTAAGATTTCTCCCTCTGTTGGATAGTTTGGGTGGGAGGTAGACAGGAAGGTTCTGGGTGGGGAAGGTCGGCGCTGCGTCACCCCCAGACCAAGAAGGCATGGCAGTGAAGGGTCAGAGCGATCAACAGCCACGTGCTTAGGGCAGTAGTGGAGAGAGCCGACTGTCTTTGGGGAGACGAGGCGCGCCCCTAACATGAGTAGGGGGCGGGGAGGACGAGCAGGAGGAGGCCGGTTCCGGCAGAAGGCATGGGGTAGGGGGAGGCAGAGAGCACGCGGACAAAGGAGGCGGCCCTCAACCCAGCTGTTTTGAAAAATGCTTCCTGTTTCTTTAAAGGCGCTCGCGGCTCGGGCTGCCTGGGTTAGGAAGGCGGCAGCGGCGGCGGCGGCGGCGGCGGGAGCTGCCTCCTCTCCGGGCGGGCGGCGCTGAGTGATCTTGCGAACTGGGCTTCTGTGTAAACTGAGGCTAAACAAACACAGATGGAGCGCAGCGGGCGTTCTGCTGAAATGCTGGCAGGGCGGCAGCGACTTCTGATGACACTCTGAGCTCTCATAGAGGGAACGGGCAGCCTCCGAGGCTTCACCTAGCCTGAGGCGCAGCTGCCCCGGGAGTGGGGGAGCGAGGGAGGAACCCGGGGAGGGAGGGTAGGAGGAGAGAACGAGGCGACAAGGCGGCGCTGAGCACCGCGGCCACCGGGCGCAGCCAGGCGCTCAGCGTGCAGAGCGATCTCAGCGGGCGCGCGTCCCTGGAAGTCCCACGCCCCTGCCTGGCTCTGTCCGCACCATGAAGCACATCCCGGTCCTCGAGGACGGGCCGTGGAAGACTGTGTGCGTGAAAGAGCTGAACGGCCTCAAGAAACTCAAGCGGAAAGGCAAGGAGCCGGCGCGGCGCACGAACGGCTATAAAACTTTCCGACTGAACTTGGAAGCACCCGAGCCCGGCGCCACGGCCAGCGCCACCGCTGCCACCAACGGGCTCCGGGACAGGACACAGCCGTTCCCAATCGCAACCCCAGTGCCAGCCTCAGTGGCGCCGGCGGTTCCTCCAGGTGGGGGCACGGACACAACCAAGGAGCTCAGGGGCATCCGAGCGCCTGAAGTCTCAGACGCGCGCAAACGCGGTTTCGCCCTGGGCACAGTGGGACCGGGACTACCCACGCCGCCACCGGCGTCCCAGAGCTTGGCACCGGGGCGTCACGAGGCGCAGCCCTACCGTGAGCCGTCTCTGCGTCCCCGCATCTTGCTGTGCGCCCCTCCCGCACGCCCCACGCCGTCTGCGCCTCCTGAACCCCCAGCGGCGCCACGAGAATCCCCCGTGCGCCCTGCGCCCCCCACGCGCCCGGGGGAAAGTTCCTACTCGTCAATTTCACACGTAATTTACAATAACCACCCGGATTCTTCTGCGTCGCCTAGGAAACGGCCAGGCGAAGCGACCGCCGCCTCCACGGAGATCAAAGCCCTGCAGCAGACCCGGAGGCTCCTGGCCAACGCCAGGGAGCGGACGCGGGTGCACACCATCAGCGCCGCCTTCGAGGCGCTCAGGAAGCAGGTATTCCCTCTGCCGCGGGGCAACAGTGATAGGCGTGGGTGGGTGAGTGGCCCCAGAATTGGAGTCAGAATAAAGGGGATCCTGCAGCGCAGGCAGGTTGCGTTATCAAACTGAGATTTGGCCACAGACCTTAGTTTGCAAAGTGGACCAAAGCTAAGGATCTCTAGCCCAGACGCATCCCGGTGTTCGCGAGGGCTAACTTTGTCCGCGGGTCTGACTTGTATGGCAGCGAGTATCTGTCTTCTGGAATCCCGTGGGCTGGGTGGGGAATACAGAGGGGAATATGGAAATCTTCCCCTGCCCCCCCCCCCTCGCCCGGGAAAGGAGGAGAATACCACCTTACAGCCCTGCGCACTTGGCATGCTTGGGGTCTTGGTCCCTGTGGATGGCACCCAAGAACCTCAACATTAGAAAGGTTCGTTCCTGCGGGGGTGTCCTGAAATATAAAGGGCCGTCAAGGGAGCTTGTCAGCCTCTCTTTGGTCCTGGCTACCATGTTCATTCAGTTTCCTTGTGGGATCTCTGCACTTGCCTGGTCTCTGTAGTCCCTAAGGACCCGCTACAAGCTTGTGGTCCCTCCAAGGACAGCTTCAGGAACTGATCTGTGGGAACTTTCCCAGGAGACCCTGCCCTCCACTGCCCTTCCTCTTCTGATCACATCAGTCACCTCAGCCCAGGAGACTGCTGCTTGGGGCATTCCCTCTAGGGAGGTCAGGAGAAGTCACAGGCTCCTCATGGGGTTGGGGAGGGGGAGGCGGTGGTGGGGACTGCTGTCACCTGGCAGCTCCTGTTGGGGAAGCAAAAGAAAACTTGAGAATTACCCATGGTGGAGGGGGGCAGTTGACAATTCCACTTCGGATAAGCTTGGTACTCCCCTGGAACTCTAGTTTCTCATTTTCTTACGGACGGGTGAATCTAAAAAGGGTGTGGCATGGGCCTTCCCATTCAAGTCATGTAAGGGGTTGGAGTGGGTGGTGGATGTAACTGCTTTAATGGATGAAGTTTTTGTTTGTTCTGTCACTGATTAGCTGTCTGTCTCCTGGAAAGTTACTCAACCTCTCTGGGCTTTAGCCAGTCACAAACCATTTCAGAAAACATCCTCTTTTTGGCTCATACTCTCGTTTTCCTTCTGTGGGTATGGTCAGGCAATAGAGATCTAGTCCATCTATGACCTGGACATGTAACCCTTGGAAAGAAGTGGCCCCCATGGCTTTTCAGCCTGAGTGTCTCATCTGAGTTTGGGAGCAATGTTTGGTCAATGAGGTGGGGTGGCGGTCACTGCCTGCAAATGCATCAGCTGTCACCCTGGGCTGTGGAGCCACCATTCTGCCCTAGCCAGCTGCTGTGTGCCTGCATGCCTGGGCAGTGACAGCCTGTGGGATCTCTCAGGACAGGAGGATGGTGGAAGGCGGGAATTGCCTGTGTGCCTGCTCCTTGTGCGGCTAGGTGAGTCTTTCCTGAACTGGGGACTCACGTGCCCAGAGTCTCCGTTTATCTGCGTCCAGCCACCTTCCTCAGCCTTTCCCACAGAGAGCGTTCATGCCTGTGTCTCTCATGTCCTGTGGCTTTTGTGACTTTCAACAAGGAATCCTGTTCTACTTAGTCTTAATGTCCAAGTCAGGCAGGAACGGATAGACCCATTTTGTAGTAAGCAATGCTGAGGCCAGGAGAAGGTACGAGACTTAGCCATGATCATCTTGTAGTGAGGGGTTAGATGGCAGCAGTTTCTGGAGAACGTCTCTGACTAAAATCTTCCCGCTGGGTGGTACCATTGGCGACTCTCTGTGATGAGGGTGTTACTCCCGTCTCCTTTCGTTTCTGTTATCTGTGAGGCAGGTTCTGCACGAAAGAGTCAGTTCCATGTGTCTCATGCATTCTCAGAGAGAGGCGTGTGTGTGCACACATGCAGTTCAGTGTATGTCTGTATGTTCAGTGCATGTACTCAAAGAATACACGAGCGTGTACACCTGTTCCCCACCTCCCCCGTTGCCTTTTCCTAGCCCTAACCATCTGTCCTGTCCCTAGAAGGCCTGCTGGGCTCTACTGGACACCTACCTGTTGTCTAAGGACAGAAACATAGCCAGGGACTGAGACTACATGCACCAGGTCCCCTGTCCTCTCTGGGCTTCAACTGCTAAGGTTCATCGTGATGTTATCCACGACCTCACAGGCACAAAGGAATGAAGTAAGGCAGGAGCGGTGAGGAAGAGGAGCATTTCCCAACCATTGGCAGGGCCTCGGGACTGAGCAGGGCTCTGTAAGACGAGACGTATGGATTCCTTATTATTTTAACCGGCTCCCTGTTTTAGACAGGGTCTCTTTATGTAGCCGTAGTTAGCCTACATCTTTTTTTTTTTTTTCGATTTTTCGAGACAGGGTTTCTCCGTAGCTTTTGGTTCCTGTCCTGGAACTAGCTCTTGTAGACCAGGCTGGCCTCGAACTCACAGAGATCCGCCTGTCTCTGCCTCCCGAGTGCTGGGATTAAAGGCGTGCGCCACCAACGCCTGGCAGCCTACATCTTTTATAGAGACCTGCCTGCCTCTGCCCCTTAAGTGCATAAAGGCATGATATCCAGCTCATTTGAAAATTTTAAGTTGTGTGTGTGTGTGTGTGTGTGTGTGTGTGTGTGTATGTGCGCGTGCGTGCATGCATGCAGCTCAGAGGACAACTGAGAAGTTGGTTCTCTCCTTCTACCCCGTGGGCCTTGGGGATCCAACTCAGGCTGTTGGTCATGACAGCATCTGAGCCATCTCACAAGTCCTTTTATCATTCGACAGTGAACACAGAAAGTGCCAGGCTCTGTGCTTAGCATCTTCTGTGTTCTACCTGGTTTTGTGAAGCAGGTGCTGTCATCAGAAGGTGATCCCAGGGTCTCAGGAAGTTTGTGTGAGCTGGCTGAGGTCCTGCAGTGTTGTTGGTGGCCTCACAGGCTTTGTGCGGCACTGTCTCCACGTGCCACCCTTCGGTTCCCAGGTTGGCACTGTACCCATGGCTTTGTGCAGGGGCAGAGCTGTGCGGTCACCACAGAGCCTGGAATGAATCAGGGTTGGTGAGTCTTTCCGGTGGCCAGTGCTTAATGGCTTTGCGTCTTGGCATATCCACCCCGAGCACCAGGGAACCAGTCAGGCCTCAGCCTGTCACTGCGACCCTCCCAGCCAGGAAGAAACAGCAGAGGGGGCTGTGTGGCTGCTGGCCCAGCTACAGGTGGGACAGAGTCCCTCTGGTCTGAGGAGAGGGCTATGGGGCAGATGGTCAGGCTACCGCACTTGCCACCAGCCCAGCTGCACCCGAGCCCTCCTTGCTGCCTCATATGAAGGCCATGTGTGTGCAGCTGGGCCTGGCCACGTGCAGGCTGCTCCCTGCCAGGTGGGAGGGGTCCACGGGAAAGGCCAGCTGTGCTGGGTAGAGGACCGAAGGGCCTGAGCAGTGGGACTCCTTTTCCTGGCAGGACCCACCAGCTGGGCTCACCTTGAGGATGTCTAGCCTGTGGGTGGCTTTGTTCTCTCCCTGGAAGCCCCTTGATGTCCCTGGAGAAGTGGCAGCAGCGGGCCATGTTGGGCCCTTAGAAGCTGCATCTCCCCACGAAGGAGGCATTGAGCAAGTGGAGCCCAGGCTACCTCCCACAGTGTGTCTTGGGGGTCTCCAGGGGTCCCACCAGGTTAATCCAAAGTGATCCCAGAAGGGTATGTGGAGGGTGGTCTCATCTTAGCCTCTCTTGGACTCCCAAATCCTCTGAGGTGATAGAGGCACAGGGGACCCCCAGCGGGGTCTGTGCATTCCCCCAGATGCTAGTGAGTCGGGAGGGGGCAGGTGCTTACACTGGAAGGTCCACACGGTTGGAGAGGGTGACAGGACTCTTCCCCTGCCCCCAAGCTCACACTTCCGAGGGAGACTGATTATTGAGATTCCTGTGACATGGGTATATAGCTTCAGTCATAAGTTTGCAGGGCTACTTGTCATTGCACTGATAAGGACACGTAGAAAGTGGTCAGGGTCTGTCCTCAGGTTTGTCAGACCCTGGGGTGACTTTACTTTGTAGAGACTGTGAATTTTAAAGGATATTTCTAAGTAGACCTGGCAGGGATGTTGGACAGGAGGTTTCACGAATCCTCTCCCGCAGACACAGGAGACTAGCTTCACACAGAAGGAAACCAGAATGTCACTATATGCAGAGACATCGTGTGCTTGCAGCTCTGGAGGGGTCTCTGAGGACTGCCCCTGAGAGACCGACAGAGGGCAAAGGGCTTTGAAGGCTGTCCTGCGTGTTCTGGGAGATTCTTGATTTTGTTTTTGTTGTTTCTTTCTCCACTTAACCACTGTGACCCCATTTTGAGAAGCAGCTGTTGGAATGCCCACGTTTCTGGTGAAGAAACAGGTCCTGTTAGGCCACGGTCCTCCTTAAAGTTGGGAAGATGTCCAAGGGGCAGCCAGGCCCTCAGGCTGCCCAGTCAGTATTTGCTGGAGCCAAGGGAGGGTCTAGCTTGGGCAGTGGAGGAGGAGTGGAATGTTTGGGGGCCTAGAGGACCTTGTGAAAACGCCAAAAGCCGATCCTTTGAGAAGTTTAAAATCCAGGAGCAGGGGCGACAGCTCAGTCAGTAAGATGCTTGCTATACAAACGTGATTCCTGAGTTCATCCTCCCACCTACAGAGGCAGGCACACTGGCGCGTATCTGTCATCTGGCACTGGGGAGGTAGAAACATGAGGCCCTCTGGGGCTTGCTAGCCAGTCCAGTTCTGCTGAACCCGTGAGCTCCAGGTTCGGGAGAGACCTTGTCTCAGAAATCAAGATGGGGCGTGATGGAGGAGAGCTGACATTGGTGTCTGCCTCTGCGCATGCTCAAACACGTGCATGCCCACCCGCACAGATATATGCAGGTACAGCCAGTCTGTATGGAGAAACACGAGGGAGGCCCCTTTTCCATCCTAGAAGCTGGGAAGTGGAGATGAAGAGTGGGAGCCAAGTGGCCCTGCCTACTCCTTCAGCTCCAGGCTCCTGACCAGGTGGGGTCTTGGGGTGAATGGATGGGGTCTGTGACTGGCTGAGGGTGCTCACAGAGGTAATGTGCAAGGGTGGGGTCTTCTGGGGTTACCAGCCCAAAGCTCTCTATCCAAAGCTATCCCCACCCCCACCGTAAGCTGAGTGAGAGCACTCTCAAACTTCTGATCCTCCTGCTTCTACCTCTCATGTGCTGGGATTACAGGTGTGCACCCCTACTCCTGGCTCGTGCAGTGTGGGGTACTGAACCCAGGATATCAAGGTATTCTAGGCCAGCACTCTATCGACTGAGTTATCTCTCCAGTCCAGGATAGCCAGCCTTGCGGGAGGGGAGGAGAAGGGGCAAGTCACCTGACCGTTACTGTTGCCTCACGTGGCCACCTTGGTGGCAGAGGAGTGTCTGTTTGTATGTGACAAGCTGCAGGCTCCAGCCAGGTCTCTGTTGGCCGATCTGAGGCTCAGCGTGTCACCTGTTTTTCTTGTGCGTATGTGGGACATTCATTTTCACTTGGGGCAGATTTCAGATAGGATACTGCCGTGAAAGGCTGTGGCCATCAGATGGACGAGGGCTCAATCCATGGTTGGCTTTCAGTTTGACCAGGACGTTGACCCAAGCGATGGTACAAAGTGACGAGTCTAGGACAGACTGATCCAGAACCTGGCATGATGTTCCTGGGTTGGCCTTGGCCTCACCTGTCATTTTGGATCCCAGCACAGAGATCTTTCTCGAAGTCTCGCTTCTTCCTAGAAGCCTGGGTGTTTGGGGACCCAGGTGTAGAGCTGCCGTTGAAGGGAGACTTCCAGAGTGTTCTGTAAGTGACAGTAGTCCCGGGTTCCCAGATTCCACCCTGCAGGCAGACATCACCTCCTGGGTCGAGGGGCAGGCAGAGGTGCTGGGCCTGCCCCCGAGACCCTCTTCTCTGGCCAGACTGCGTTTATTTGTTCAAATTGATAAAAGTGTTTTCTGGACTCAGAAAACAGGCAAATCACATTGTTCTGCCAGCTTTTCTTGGATGGGTTTGGTGATGTGGCCATGGGGAGGATGAGTGTGCTGGTGGGGGCTGGGAGTTCAGGAGAGTTAGCATGCTCTGTAGTCTTCCCTGCCCTTTTGCTCTGGTTTTCTAGTCTCTGGTTTCTGTAGGCTGAAGGGTGGTTAGCTACTGTGCCCAGGTTTCTCATCCTCTCTGGAGCCCGCCTTAGGACCTTCTGCAATACTGAATGTTGTCATTTTGTTGATCTCTGCTAGGCTTGCTGTGTACAATGCCTATGTCACCCACTGAATCCCTGTGAGGTCAGTCTTCTTCCCAGTACACAAAGACACCAAGGTTCAGAGTGAGTATAGCATTCACTCTGTCTTATGCTGGGCAGTCGGAGCCGGGTGTTGAATCCGTGTGCATGCGTGTGTGCATATGCGCGTGCGTGTGCATGTGTGTGTGCGTGTGTGTGTGTGTGTGTGTGTGGAGGTCAGAGGACAACTTCTGCTGGGCCTTTTTTTTTTTAATGTTGTCTTACTGGTCTGACTGTAGCCTAGGCAGGCTGGCCAACGAGCTCCACGATGCTTCTGATTCTGCCTTCCCAGTGCTGAGATCGCAAGCACATGCTGCCGTGCTGGACGTTTTTAATATGTGTTCCAGGACATCATTTTTGCAAGGCATACTGATGAAACTATCTCCCAGCCCAGATAAAGTTCTTTTTAGTTTTATCTTTTTAGAAAAGACTTGTTTGTTTTATGGATGTGAGCATTTTGCCTGCATATGTGCCTGCACACTCCGTGAGTGCCTGGTACTGAAGAGGCTGAAAGGTTACTGGATCTCCTAGAACTGGAGTCACATGTGACTGTGAGCTGCCGTGTGGGGGTCAGAATCAGACCCAGGTCCTCTGGAAGAACACTGTTCTGGAGGAGCTCTCTCTCTCCAACCCCTTATCACTTCGTTTTATTTTTAATTATGTGTCTGTGTGTCTGAGTGTGGGTTTGTACAATAGTGCAGTATCTGAGGAGAACAGAGGGGGCCTTGGCTTCCATGTTGCTGGAGTTCTAGGGAGTTGTGAACTGCCCTGTTGGGCTGCTGGGAAACAAATTCTGTTTTTTTTTGGGAGATCAGCATACTGTTTTAACTGCAAGCCATCTCTGCAGCCTCCAAATAGTGTTTTTGAATTAGATTCAAGATATTCTGGAGCTAATTCACTCATTGCCTTATTTAGTCAGCCCCTTGGAAGTCTGCTTCAGGCAGAATTTGGAGAATACTCCTCAGCTGGGAGCCTTCCCCTAGCATATGGGGACACTGGTCACGACGGATGGGGGCCAACTGAGGACTTAAAGACAGAAAGGTGCCATTGCAGCACCACTAAGCAAGGCTGCACTCTTAGGATAGGGTGGGCATGAGAAATCAGAGACGGTTCTAGATGAAGTGAGTGCTGTATTTAGGGGACGGTCAGAGGTCTTGTTCATACTTAATTCTGGGGCGTCCAGTGGGGATTTTCATGTTTGGCCATTGCTGAGCTTTGGCCGAGGAGTTCTTTCTTGTGGAAGGCACTGAGAATCCTGCACGTGGTGTGATGTTCTGCAGCACAAACCCTCCAAACTGCTGCTCCTCTGTTGTGACAACTAGAATGTCCCCAGGCCTTGCCATCTGTCCCTTGAGGGATAAAATCATTTCTGGTTCAAAACCATTGACTTCAAAGAGCCGCTGCTCCCTAAATACTACAGCAACGGTTCTGTGTGGGCCCCATGCTCGGTGGCGTAATGCGGATACAGATGCTGTGTTTAGATGCCAGAGAGTTATGGTAGGACCAGAGCCTTGGCTGCTGGTGGGACATTTCAACCGTTTGTGTGAACGAACGGTGGAGAGAAGGAACAGGTCCAGGTTAGTAGCTGTCGGGTAGATTCTGAGGAGTTACATCCATGTTACAATGCCGTGTTCAGTTCCACGTCCGGTGGTCTGAGCTCTATGACAGCTCACATAGTACATGTAGAGGGTGGAAGAAGTCCGAGGCTCCGCCCCCTCTCAGCACACGCCCCTTTATAATTAGTGGGTGATTAGCTGCCGCTGAATCCCAGACTAATGAGTCAAGTCTGGTTGGGGCTGTTGGCATTTATTACGCACCTGTTGTGTGCTGTGCTTGGCAGTAACCCAGGTCCAGAGGGCATGGGAAAAGGGAAGAAAGAAGAAAACACACCACAGTTTTGTGTCTGTGTATCTGCACTGTCCCCCTGAACATCTCCGGGGTCCCAGGAAAATGTATGATGTGTTTAAAATGTTGTTTATTACTAAGTGTGTGCGTGAGTGGTGTGTGTTTGTGGGCACATGAGGGGCAGACAGACAGCCTGGGTACATGGGGCCCCAGGATTGGCCTCTGGTCGCGAGGTTTGCATGGCTACAGCTTTTCCCGCTGAGCCATGGCTCTTCTCGGGGCTGAATCCTTTGAAGGCAGGAGTTGAGGCTTGTCTATTTGCTTGCTCGTTTCCAGGCAGGATCTTGCTCTGTAGCTCTGGCTAGTCTGGTACTCACTGTGTAGCTCAGGACGGCTTCCAGCTCACAGTAGTCCTCCTGCCATGGCTCCCCAAATTCTGTGCACCTCCACACTTGGCTGAGAGTCGTGTGTTTATTTTAAATTTATTTAAGTTGTTTTGAGACAGGGTCACCTGTGACTTTCTGTGAACTTATGGAGCAGGCTGATTTTGAATTCTTGATCCTCCTGCCTCTACCTCCCAAGTGCTGGGATCATAGGCATACACTACCAGACCCACGGGAGTCGAGTTTTTGCAGAGCACGGTGGCACATGCCTTTAATGCCAGCACTCGGGAGGCAGAGACAGACGGATCTCTGTGAGTTGGAGGCCAGCCTGGTCTACATCACAGGTCCGGCACACCCAGGACTGCATAGTAAGACTTTATCTTGAATTTTTTTTTCTAGTTGTTGAGGCGTCAAGTGTCCAACAAAGTGAGTGTCAGTGGATGAGTGAGCATGTGAAAAAGAGCATCAGAAGTGGAAAGAATATCTGTCCCTTCAGAGGGAGGGAGGATGGGGCTCTGTCAGGGCAGAAATCTGTGGTACTTCATCTGCGTTGGGCCTCATCGTCTTCCCTTGTCAAATGGGAGTGTGGGAGTGGGTGAGCTGGGATGTGGGAGTGTAAACTTCAGATGCTTAGCACAGGTCGTAAATTCATGTGTCAGACCCAGACATGCAGTAGACAGGCTGCCTCTACCCCCCTGCCAACCTAGGGGCCTTTGCAGCTGCTCCTAATGCCTCCCCCTGCCGTTCTCAGGTGCCATGCTACTCCTATGGGCAGAAGCTGTCCAAACTGGCCATCCTGAGGATCGCCTGTAACTACATCCTGTCCCTGGCGCGGCTGGCTGACCTGGACTACAGCGCCGATCACAGCAACCTCAGCTTCTCTGAGTGTGTGCAGCGCTGCACCCGCACCCTGCAGGCAGAAGGACGGGCCAAGAAGCGCAAGGTATGCACCTGCACTCAGGCAGCAGCTTTGGGGGGCGGGGACCGTGAGGTGGCGATACCCTGTGTGCCCAGGATTCCCAAGCAGCTGGAGAGCTCAACCTCTTGGAACGTCCTGGTGGACACCTCGGACTCAGGAGTCCCCACCTGCCTGGGATCAGGGATGGGATCGTGGGCTTAAAGCTGTTGGGTGACGTTGGATAGCCTGGAGTCCTGGAGTCCCTAGGTTTGGGTTTGCTTGTTGCTTAAGTAAAAACAGTGGTCCACCTTTGAAGCCCTTCCTGCCCTTGTGTGATCTGAGGCCGAATTATCCATGTGGCCCTGACAAACATTGCATCAGGATGAGATTGTCCTGAATGGGCCACAGCCCAGGAGATGCCTTCTGCGGGTTTGGGGAAGGTGATTTCGTCCAGATAGTGGGGATGAAACCGCGTGGGGGTTGATGATAATCTGTTCATTCATTGATTTTATGTATTCATCCTGGAGCGATTCACTGGGCAGCTTGGATAGGGCTATGAACTCCCTATACAGTGATGGGGTGGTCAGAGAGATGTCCCCTGGTGGAGAACAGACAGCGTGGCCCATGCTGGGGCAGGGGAAGGCCAGATGGAAGAGTTACTCTCCTGTCCAAGAGAGCTGGGCAGACATCTTACTGGAAATGACATTTGAGCTGGGAACAGCAAAGAGGCTACCAGGCAGATGACACAGTGGACAGACGATGCTAGACCTGATGTATTTAAGGAAATCTGTGGAGGAGGAAAAGGATTGGGCACAACCATAACTTCCTACATGTGTGATGCTTCAGGACATCCAGTCGGGGGCTAGGATTTAGCAGAGTTTTTGTAGCTGCCTGGGTCTCTGGTCCCCTGTTGTGCATGGAGAAAGACAGAGAGTGGGAGCCAGTCTGTCTGTGAGCCGCCTGGAGGTCCTGCGAACAGGAGCTGGGGACTCTGGTATCCTCATCCAATCCCCTGCTTCCATCCTCTTGGCCTGCCCCTCCCCCAGGCTCTTTTTAGGTAGGGAACCTATGGCTTACCCTGATTTCCCAAAGGCTGCGGAGGCCCCAGCCAGGGAGGCCCTCCTCAGGGGGTGCTACCAGCCCTAATTGTACATTACATTCCTGGGAGTGATTTAGCAGGGCCAATTAGGAGAGGCCCTCATCAAGTGGGTGAGAGAGGAAGCCCCACTGGCCACTCTGGGGCCAGCTTTCCTGCCTTCCTCGGGAGAGTGACATGGGTAAATGAAGGTGTGATTGATGGCCCCATGCCGTGTGCTCGGTGACAAAGGAAGTTGGTAAACTCTTGGTGAACTCCCGTGGCATTCAGCTGTTGGTGTGTGTCCCTCGGTGGTGCAGATAGGCAGCCTAGGCAGGCTCCCTACTTTCCCCTCTCCTCTCTGACTCCTCCCCACCTCTTTATACCCCCCACTCCAAGCAGCGCCAGCCACCCCCCTCCGCTAGTCTTTTGATTGGAGTAGACAGTGCTCTGCACTGCAGCCCTAGCAAGGGGAAAAGGCCGGCAGAGTGAGGATGCCCCTCCAAGCCATGCTTTGGGAGTGCTGTGACATCACAGAGCCCTTCCTGCAGCGCTCGGATTAGGCAATGAAGTGGTAGGTTGTGGATGAGTTACACCGCGGCAGCGCTGGCTGAGAGCTCTTTCCTAACCCCTGAGTTTCCTTGATATTTGGAACTAGTCACTCACTCAAAGATAAAATGTGTTCATGGATCTCGAAAGAGAACGAGGAGACAGTCCTGCCTGTTTGGTGATTGGTTCGAGGATGCCTTCCCTATTTCTGGAGTGGGGGATTCATGTAGGAAGCACATACATATTTAGATATGTCCGATCCACTCAAAGTAGAGCCTGGACCTCACTGTTCCCCTTGGCTCTTGTGGCTTCCAGGCCCTGCTTCTGCTCAGGGTTCTCCTTCTTATGTAGAGAACTACCCCTTTGAGAAGTCTCATGAGGCAAGAGGGGATGGAGGGTGTACTCTAGCTCCAGGGCTCAGCACTGCCATGGCACAGGCAGGTGTCTGCCCCTTATAGGGCATGTGACCACTGCAGGAGCCCTTAAGCAGGTGATAGAGGGGGTATTGAAGTCACCCTGTGTACACCTACTCCACGTACCGTACCCTCTTTGTGATAGTCATGGGGGTGTAGATAAGAAATCGTTTGCCACATTGTCCCTGCCACCTAGTGGCAACAGGACATTGTGGTTGGAAGATTTGGAAGCCAGGCATGATCAAAGTGGAAGAGACAAAATCTCATGAAGAATCCTTGTTCTCCACATGGGTCCAGCCACCAGGAAGCCAAGGACAGAGTCTGCTCTGCCATTGGGAGGACGAGGCAGATTTGCCCAGAGTCCTTTTGGGCTCTAGAGAGTATAAAAAATTAAGAGCTAGAACCTTCCATGCAGGTGTCTGCTTTGCCCTTTCTGAGTCTAGAGTAGCATGTGGATCCATGCCCTAGGCTTGTCGTTAACATCACCCTCGAGGAGGCTCTGGAATAGGGCACGTGGGTCTTAGCGAGCTCTGAATGACATCGTGAGTATGTGCCCTCCACTTGGCTTCTGGGCAGCTCAGGAGCACTAGGGGCCCTTGCTGTTCTTCCATGAAAAATGGGATGACTGTCCCAGGCTCCACCTACCAAGGCTGAGTCGTGGTTGGTTGCTGGCCCCTTCACGTGTCTGTAGGGGATAACTTCCTGGTTCCCCTCTGCCTTTGTTCCTTTCTGTCACTGTAACAGAATACCACAGCCTGGGTAGTTTGTGAAGAAGAGAGGTTTATTAACTCTTGGATCTGGGCTTGGCAGTAGTCCAGTGTGGGATCCTGATAAGGGCATTCTTTGCTTTATCTAACCTGGCCAAGGGCATCACACAGTCAGACAGCAAGCATGCTAGCTCAGGTTTCTCTCTCACTGACAAAGCTAGTACTGTCGCACAGGGCCCCACCTTGGTGACCTCATCTCATGTAATCAACTCCTAGAAGTCCCTGGCCCCATATCATTGACATCATGAGTTCTGGAGTTGAGTTTCCAATACATGTAGTTAGGGTACATGTGTTGTGAAATTGAAACCCCATTACAACTCATTTATATTAAAAATTTAATTCCTGGAGGCAGGGACGGACGTATGCCGTGCTTGTGGAGGTCGTCAGAGGAAAGCTTGTTGGTTCTCTCTTTTCTACCACGTAGGATCCAGGGATAAACTCAGTTCGTCGGGCTGGGTGGATGGCTTGTTTACACTCTGAGCCATCTCATGCCGCCTGACTCTGCTCATTTTAACTGAAGTTTAAAAACGTAAGCGGTGCCTAGCAAGATAACTCATACCTGTAATTTCAGCATTCTGGGAGCTGAGGCAGGAGGATTGCCAAGAATTCCAGGCCAGCTCCGGCTACAGAGCGAGCCCCCCTGAAAAGCCCTAAGTGGAAAGAGTAGTTCTGACTCAAGACCACCAGGAAGGGCGGCAAGAGGCTGTGGGCAAAGACTGCTGTCTGTGAACAGATTTCTGCTCTGCCTCTGTGATGCTGGTGGTCTTGGCCACTGTGACTGGTGGCAGTTTGAGCCGGTGGATTGCACCCTGAGCGACCATGTCCCGGAGAAACTGGGTAATGCTCTTTCAGGATATCTGTTTGAGAGCCTGGGTCCAGTGGCTCCTGACCCCCCGACCTCGTGAGCCACCTTGCCCTTCAGGTCTGCAGTAGGGAGAGTTAGCACTGAATTGGTCCACCCCCCAAGCCTCAGGTGCGCCCCTCTGTCCATAGCAGCCCTTCATCAGCCACTCTCCTTTACTAGTTGTGAGTTTTCCCCACTCATACGCCCTAGCAATGCAGAGAGCCCCATGAGAGGATGCTCCATAGCTGCAGGACGGGAGGAGGGAAGGCCCCAGGGAGGGCTGGCCCCCCTCTGTGCTGTGCAGAAGCTCAGCACCTGGTCCTGCACCTTGCTCCTGCAGCTTCAGCTGCCATAGTGGCGGCTTCTGGGAGCCTCTCAGGAGGAGGAGGAAGACAGAGAACCAGAAGGAGGACCGACCTGTTCCTTCATACCTGGGCTCTGTGCCACTTGCCCAGCCTATGGAATAGGAGAGCTGGTACCCCCAGTCTAGGCACCCCCTTGCAGGGATTTCAGGTAGCTCAGTTACTTCTGCTGACTCAGTGGAGTTCTTTGAGTCTTGGGAATGAGTGGTCATTAAGCCCCCGCTGTAGCTGCTTCCAGACAGTGGGGTGGGGTGGGAGGACAGGATGAGCAGCAATCCATTGAGGAAGCCAGGTTACCAGCCTGCCTGTGTGGCCTGCAGGGCTAAGAAGCGAAGAAGCAGCCCCCCCTTGGTGTGGGTGCCTGGGAGTCTGAGAGCTCTCAGGCAGGTAAAGCTTTTCAGACAGCCCTCTCTGTCTGCTGTCACCTGGGGGAGCTTTTTAAGGTGATGGCAGGTGGGGTAACAGACCGTCAGTTCTGGCGATGGACCAAGGGCAGACTGGTTTTGAGTGGTCGTCAGTGCTGGAGAGGGGAGAGTCAGTATGAGCTTTGGGTGTTCCAGGATGCTTCCTATCCAGGTGGCTGAGCCCTGGACAGTCCTTTTGTGGGCTGATCACAGAGCCTGGGTACATGTGGCATAGTCTCAAGAGACCATCCCTGGCAGGCTTCAGCTCCCCCAACTCTGTGTGGGTCCGAGCACTCACGAGGGCCCTGTCCTAGCCTTGTCCCCAACCTGCCTCAGAAGTGGTCATTCCCACAGTGCCTGGCTCTCCCCTTCTGTGAGGCCTGCCTCCGGGCTCTGACTACTTCCCACGTGAAACTCAGAGGCAGGCTGGAGTGGTTCTCAAATCCAAATCCTCTAGGATAAGTCATTGAGTTAAATGCCATTTGCTCTCAAAGCCTGTGGAGCCCCTCTACGCTGGGAAAAAGGAGAGGTGTGTGGGAAAGCCCCATCCAGTTCCCCTCCAGTCATAAAAATGGATGCAATTTATTTTTTCTGGCATTCCAATTACATAGATGTTTGTCGCCAGCTGTTC